CACAGGCTCAAATAAAAAACCTATTTATCTTCTCCATAAAACCTTTTCTTTCTCATCTCAGTTAATGACAATTGCATCTTTTCAGTCACTGTCATATCCTATATCTTTATCCCAAATCCTGTTGCTTATATTCAAAATATATCTGGAATCTAATCACTTCTCAGCACTTTACTACCATTATTCCAGCTCAAGATTGCTGTCATCGCTCACCTAGATGATTTTCATATCCTCGTCAGTGGGGCTCCATTTCTCTATCTGTCCTCCTTGGTCCCCACCACCCAGATGTATTCTAAACCTGGGTGAATTCTCTAAACACTGCTGTGCAATAAAAATGTGATGTGAGCCACACACATATGTTATTTTAAAGTTTCCAGAAACCACTTCTTAAAAAAGTAAAAAATAAATATATGAAATTAATTGCAATATTTACTTACAAAATCTAGGTACCTCTTGTCAGAACATCATCTCCCATTAGCCTCACCTCTTATTCTGCTCTAGACCCAATCCTGTCTCAGGGCCTTTGTACCTGCTGTCCTTTTCAGGTCTTTGCTCAAATGCCAATTGTTGAGTGAGGTTTTTCCTGACCACCCTACTTGAAATTCCTGTAATCCCCAGGCCCTACAGTTCTAATATCCCTTCCTCCTTTATTTTTCTTAGTTCTTTTCACTACTTAACATATTAAATACATTATTTAAGAATTTATTTCAAAATTATTTGATTATTATATCTTCTCCCCATAAAATGTAAGCTTTATGAGAGCAGGACTTTTGGTCTATCTTACTCATTGTCATATTCCTGGCATTTGGAAAATTGCCTGGCACATAGTAGACAGAAAATGTCTGATGTATACGTGAATGAGTGAGTACAAGTAAACATTGTTTTTAACAATGAGCACAAGCTACAATTCAGACGGTGGAGGGACAGAGGTAAGGATGTCATGCTGGCCATCAAAACGGAGAGATGGCCGAGGTTCTTTCTTTTCCACTCTATCGATAGAGGAAAATTGCAAAAACTCCAAGTGGTAGATGACTCACAGGAGCTCTTCTTGAAAGCAGTGGATGGGAGTCCTAGATATAAAATCCAGCTTTCAACTTTGAAGGTAACTGAAAGAAGGGACTTTCATATCCAAGTTAAATCAGTTGGAAACAAGGTTTCATCCAACACTAAGAGTTAGAAAAGGCATTAAAAAAGATTCCCTAAATTAAAAGATTCTTTATGACTACAATGCTACAGTAAATCAGAATGACTCCCCGCAATGTTTATTTTTTGCCATACTCCACGAAGTACAGCAGAGCTATGTATAAGTTTATATTGAATGTACACACATTTTCATTAATTAATTCAGTAAAAATTTGTGGGGCTGTTCAGTGCCGTGGCTCAAACCTGTAATCCTAGCTACTAGGGAGGGTATTGATCCGAAGGGGTTCACAAGACTCCATCTCAACCAATGGCTGGATATAGTGGTGCATACCTGTTACCTAGGTATGCTGAGAAGCACAAAAAGGAGGATGGTGATCAAAGCCAGCCTAGGCATAAAGTGAGATCATATCTCAAAAATAACCAAAGCAAAGAGGGTTGACGATGTGGCTCAAGTGATAGAGCAGTGAAGGCCTGAGATCCAACCCCAGTACCACAAATAAAAGGAGGGCATGTTGTTTCAGCTAAGCAACAATTGAAAAGAAAAGGTAATCCCTGTACTTACATATGTGTATTCAACTAGTGTGTGTAATACTTAGATCCTGATTGAATTCTATTTTTAAACACTAAGTTGAATGAAAACACATGCGATTTTCTTTTTGACTTTAACAAGACCTACAGGGGCTTCATTGCTTTAATCACCATTCTTCCAGATTCAAAGTCCTCCTTGATTTCTCCTAACCTTCAATTCTGAGCCCCCTTTTTAATTGTTTCTGAAATAACTTTAAAATCTAATCTCTTATCACCATCTTCATGCCCACCATCATTTCTTGCCTGAATTACTGCACCTTCCTGGTCTTCCACCTTGCCCCTCTCCAATCCATTTTCCACATACCAGAGTCATCTTTGAATAAATGGACACCATCTCTCTCCTTTTGTAGAGCCTCTTCATTGGCTTCAGATAAAGTCTAAATTCTTAATATAGCATAAAAGGCACTGCATATTTTGCTGTTGAAGTAGTATAGCAAGATTATGATGGAGTAAGGAACTAGGCTAAGTTTGAATCCTAGTTCTGCCTTTTACTAGCTGACCTTGAGCAAGTTACTTTAGCTCTCTATCCTCAGTTTTCATATCTATAAAATGGGGCAATGATAGAAGCTATCTCATAGAACTGTTACGAAGACTGAATCAGTGTAGAGCACAACACAGTACCTGACACATGGTTTTACATAAGTATTAGCTATTATCCCTCCTAATGTCTTTGTTTTGCTAGCTATTATCCCTCCTAATGTCTTTGTTTTGCCTTGACTGTGTCCTAGTCATTTTGTAGCAGGTTGGCCCTGAAACAGGAATCTGCTTCCAGCTCCTCCCACATCCTCCTATTTGGAATACTCTCTTCCAAATCCTCCTCCTCTCTCCACTACCTTCTACCTTAGCATAACCACCAATGCTTTGGGAAGCCTTTCTAGATCAGATTAACTGTTCCTACTATGGGCTTCTATGGCACCCAGGTAGGGTGTAGCCCTGAGGTCAGGATGCCTAGTTAAGTTTGAGTGTCAGATAAGGAGGAAAAATCAGTATAAGTATGCAATATTTGGATTTCAGATAAACATTAAGTATTTGTCCCATGCAACATTTGGGACATACTTAGCTAAAAATGTATTTATCTATCTGACATTTGAATTTAAACAGCTATCTTGTATCTTCTTTGTCAACCCCAAGCCTCTATCATCACCCTTGGACACTTTAATAGTTCAAATAAGTGGGACAAGTGGTTCTTTGTCTCCCCTACAGAGTGTCAGCTCTGTGAGGACAGCACCTGGCATGCAGGCATTCCACCGCTACTGAGAAATGGATGGACCCATTGAGCTAAAACAGCCAGTGCCTCCTGGGACTTGACTCTGGCTATGTGCAAACTCCCTGGAGAACAAAGATTTTCCGTTTAGTGAGTGAGAGCCTCACCCACACGTGGATCAGATGATGGTACTGCTTTTCAAAATATCTTCAGTGTAATCCTATCATTGACACCCAATGTCAATTTTAAGGTGACCCCACTATTTTACATTCAAAAAAGGACTTTGAGTTTTCACAACTCTTTTCACTTGACCCTCAAGGCAAGTAAAAATTCACATGTGACCGATGAGGAAATGGTGAGTGCCAACAAATAGAAATGACAATTTGAACTCCAGGAGTGGAGTTTGTACTGAACTGAACCACAATGATCATCTGGGAGGTGGGGAGAACTGGATTCTTCCTCCTCATTGAGAAGGCTTCTCTGGGAAGAAGTCTGATAGCTGACCCCTCTCCAAGATTCAACCATCTCTCCAGTATGTTCCTCAACAATAGCCTGAGAGGAGACAGAGGTCAGGCACTTGTACTTTGAAACCTCCACCAGGTGATTCTTGTCCCATTTTGTAGGGGGGGGCGGGGAAATCTGTCATTGTTACAGGTGACACTATTTAATTTGGGAGACTAAACTGAGCTCACTCAGAGTTAGAGAAATCATAGTAACAGTGGCAAGACCTGAAATCCATTCCTTTTCTCTCATCTGCATCTCTAGGAGACACCATCCCACCCACTATAAAATTTCTAAGGGCAAAAATTTGTACTTTATTACATATACTTTTCAGCTTTCTTCTGGAATAAGGTGAGGTGGGCTGAACCTGCTGCTGCTGTGGCACCCAGCAACCTCACCCCTCGGAGTGCTTCTGGAAAGTTCAGGCTGAGGGTAGCTGGACTTCTGCCTCTGGGAAACGCCTACTAGGTGTTTAGAGGGGTGCTCCAGCACCCCTCTAAAATGTCATAGACCCTCAGGAAGATTTGCTCAGTCCAGAGGAGGACTCCAGCTTGAACCAGGACAGAAGTCTGTGAACTAAACCAGCAGAGCCTTGATGATGTGCCAAAGTCCAGTCGTATCCTTCCTGCCGGCTCACCAACGCCCTCCAGCTCTACTTCTTGAAGCTCCCCAGGATCAGGGAATAATAAAAAAAAAAAAAAAAAGAAAGAAAAGAAAAGGGTTAAAGGCTAATGGCCTAAACCAGAACAGGCTGTGAGTAATTCAGTTCAACTACAAAGGGCACCCTGCGACAAGTTCTATTCTTAAAACGCCTTCACTTTATTCGGCTTGGAGTGAAAAGCGCGCTGTCTAGAGGACCGCAGGCTTGCTATGTGAGGATCATTTGAGCAGTCTTCTGTTTTGTTGGATCACAGATACCTGGCTGCCGGGACCAGCTCCTACACACACAAATGCAGAGGAGCACGCCAAATCTCTGCTCCCCAAACTGAAACAAAGTTCAGGTGCAAATGAATTCACATTGCTTGTATGGTCCCCAAAGAAAGCTGTGCCGACAACATTCTAGTTCGACTTTGCTTCTAGAACTCAGAAGCAGGCCATTACAAAACTAGGTTTGAACCTGCATGGAAGGTGCTTGCGATATCAAGACCATTTGGCCGAGGACAAGATGTCCCCTAGGATAATCTTTTCCCGGGGTCAGTCGAACCCCCCAGCTTACCTGTTTGGGCCACCGTCCCCACTCCGCGCGCTCAGCTCCCGCCGCTATCCCGGCTCCGGTTGCCCGGGTAACGCGGGACGCGCGCGGAGCCCGCGGCTGATGGCGGGTGCGCCGCGCGGGTGGCAGCGCCTCCTACCCCTTGCGAACAGCGCGGACCTTGCGCCGCCAGCCAGGGCGGGGAAACCGCGGCTCCAGGGCCGCTCTGCGTTCAGCCAATGAGAAGCCGGGGGTGTGGCGGAGGGAAGGGGCGGCCCAGTACTTAGCTCAGCGCCAACTGCCCGGCCCCACCTCCTCGCGCCCTCGCGCACCGTCCGGGCGTTGAGCGTAGTAGAGCGGCTACCTCGCTGTGTCATGGTGACCCCCTCCCCCACCAGCCCCGTGAGCCCTGCTGCCCGGGGAGGGAGGCGGGACAACGACCAGAATCTCCGCGCCCCAGTGAAGAAAAGCAGGTGCCCGCGCCTCCGGAGGAAGGAGCCGCTGCAGCCCCTGAACCCCTGCCCGCTGCCCGGAGACTCCGGCGTTTGCGACCTGTTCGAGTCCCCCAGTTCGGGCTCGGACGGCGCAGACAGCCCTGGGTCGTCAGTGGCGCGGGGCTGCAGCCCTCTGACCGGCCTTGCCCAGCCGTTGACGCCACTAGATCTCCAGACCTTCCGAGACTACGGCCAGAGCTGCTACGCCTTCCGCAAGGCGCAGGAGAGCCACTTCCACCCGCGGGAGTCGCTGGCGCGGCAGCCGCAAGTGAGGCGCTGGGAGAGCCGCTCCCCGCCGCCGCTCTTTCTCTCCCCGGCTGTTTTCCTTTCCTGCTGTCTGCACTTCGCGGTGCCCTCGCCAGTGCAGCCCAGGTCCCGCCCCTAGACGGAGCATGAGGGGCCTGCGAGGGCCTGGATCGCCCTCCTCACTTTTCAGATGGAGAAAAGTGGGGCTTAGAATAAATGGCCTGCCCCGAGTCTCCAAGCTAGTTAGTGGGGGCAGCTTGGAGTGCGGACTCCTACCAACCTCGGGCAAGCTATTTAACAATCCTAAATTTGTTTCTTCATCTGCAAAATGGGCTAGTCCCCCACCCCCGCCTTCCACTGAATTGCTGAGAGGATTACACGAGGTAAAGTCAGCAACGCGCTCTGCACAGCGCCAGGCACAAACCCAGGCATCCCCACTCCCAGCCGGGCCAGCGCTCTTCCCGCAGCAACAGGGCCCGCGTGCTTCCCAGTTTCCAGTGCATTTACCTTTTTTCTCTTCTTCCTGCCCATCTCGAGGGGAAGCTTCCTGGTTTATCTCGTCCCTTCCTTTCTGCAGCCCCCCTTAGCTATAGGTTCAGCCAGCCGCCCCCCTCCCCGCAGGTGACCGCTGAATCCCGCTGCAAACTGCTCAGCTGGTTGATCCCAGTGCACCGCCAATTTGGCCTCTCCTTCGAGTCGCTGTGCCTGACGGTGAACACTCTGGACCGCTTCCTCACCACCACGCCGGTGGCTGCAGACTGCTTCCAGCTGCTGGGAGTCACCTCTCTGCTCATCGCTTGCAAACAGGTACCTCTCCCAGGCGTCAGGGGGCGGGGATGCAGTCTCCTCTCCAGTGCCCGCAGAACTGACAGATGCAGATCTGTATGTGCCACAGCCTTACCTTTCTCAATTCCGCAAACTAGCAATCATTTTCAGCCCCTAAAGAAATAGTCTAGTCAGTCCCCAAAAGCCTCTGTTCTAGTCTTTGCAAAAAAAACCTTTATTTCCCAAACCCTCTATTTAGTCGGACAGTAGATGGAAAGGCTACGCTGAAAGTGCGGTCTAGATGATATAAGTGGAGAGGTGAAGTCTGTGGCAACCTCTCTGGAAGGTGGCGGGGGAAGGTCCTGATTTTCTCCTAGATTTTAGACTGGGGCAGGTCTCAGCCCAGGAAGCCTCGAGGGGAGTTCGTGCTGTGTTGCAGGTAGAGGTGCATCCACCGCGCGTGAAACAGCTCCTAGCGTTGTGCTGCGGCGCCTTCTCCAGGCAGCAGCTCTGCAATCTCGAGTGCATCGTGCTGCATAAACTGCACTTCAGCCTGGGAGCACCAACCATCAGCTTCTTCCTGGAGCATTTCACTCACACGCGCCTGGAGGCCGGCCAGGCTGAGGTCTCCGAAGCCCTGGAAGCACAAGTTCTGGCTCGGGCGGTGGCCGAGTTGAGTTTGGCGGACTATGCCTTCACCAGTTACACCCCTTCCCTGCTGGCCATCTGCTGCCTGGCGCTGGCTGACCGCATGCTGCGGCTCCCGCGCCCCGTGGACCTGCACCTGGGCGAGCATCCCGAGGAGGCGCTACAGGACTGCCTAGGCAAGCTGCAGATGCTGGTGGCTATAAACAGTACCTCCCTGACTCACATGCTGCCCCTTCAGATCTGCGAGAAGTGCAGCTTGTCTCCCAGCTTGCAATAAAGCAGATGCTTGGGTTCCTTATGTTCCCCTGTTGGGACGCTGGACCTGTCTGTCCCATTGCTTCAGAAGAGTGCAGTATTGATCGAAAACGAAGTGCAGGATTCCTGCTTGCCCGCTTGCGGGTTGTAAATAGTGTACAATAGCAGAATCTAGTAGTTTTATTTATTTTGTTTTGAGCACCCAAGGGAGCTGTCTTTCCCCCAATAAAGAGGCTGTCTGTCCTGGTTTGTCTGAATGCTGCTATTTGCAGTGTCCTTTACAGAAGGAGGAGTCCGCCTGCAATAGGAGCAGTTGACAATTTCAAGGGATCCTCCCCTCCCACAATTCCACTCTGTAGTTTGCATCCCTGTGAGAAAGATCCGTAAGATTCATCCATATCACAGTCCAGGAATAAGATCAAGGTCACTTGTCTTCTTGGTCCCATCACCCTCCTGTGTGGAGGCTAAGGACTGTGTACCTTCAAGGGGCCCAAGGAGTGGGTGGGGTGTGAGGCAGAGTAGAACACATAGCAGTCCAGTCTGTCCAGAGGGGCCACTGGTTGTACTCACTAGTGCAGGCAAGCACTAGTGCAGTAGACACACTGGCAGAGGTTGAATCGAGAGATACTCCAACATAGAGAATCCCCCGTGCAACATCATGGCAGATGTTGGAAAGGGAAGCTTTGCAGGTTGTAAGGGCTGTTGCAAATTCAGCCCATATCCTCTGCCATCACATAGTTCAGTTCTCATACTGCTACCAGTGAGCCAAGGGTAACAATGGCACGACAGTAATAAAGACTATTGAGTGCTTACAGTGCACTAGGTACTGTGCTCAGCATTCATTTTGATCTTCCAAAAATTGTATGCAGCAGTCTGTTAGCCATTTCTCAGAGGATGACATGAAGTACAGAAAAGACTTGGAGACAGGTGATCTCGGGCCAGAATCCCAATCTGTCCACACTGCTAACTATCTGATTGATAGGTTTCTGGAAATTTTCAAAAACCCCTCTTCCTGAGGTAGGTGCCTCACAAGTTATTTACCCCGGGTTCTCCATTCACTGTGGCTATAAAGAATACTCTTGGAGAGCCAACACAGTCCTGGTTTCCAGTCTTGTTATGGGATTTACTTTACAGATGGGGAGATGGGGCATAGGCTTGCTGGGCTTCTACAACTCTACAGTTGTCACGTTATCTTCATTCTGTCATTCTGCTGTAGGTCCATGTGCAGCAAATTTCTGAGCTTTAAAATACCAGGGTTTTTGAGAAGTTTAAATGAGATTAAGCTTAAATGCTGTAAGGTGTTGCATAGTGATTAAAGGCATGTCTCTGCCCACGTCTCATCTGTAAAAATGGGGATAACAGTAACACTTATTTGATAGAGTAAAAATAGGCTCTAAGGAGATGTTCTTCATCCCACACCAGCACAGGTCCTGGCACACAGCAAGTCATCACTCAAGAAGGGGGTAGGCAGAGAGATTATGCAGAAAAGAAACTTAGAACAAAGAAATAGAAAGCAAATAGGGGGAAAATGTTAATAATTGGGGGTGAACATATGGTTCATTGTACTTTTAAAAATATTCTGTATGATTGAAAAAAATCCTATAATACAAATCCCAGTCGCCAGGTGCCAGTAGCTGATGCCTATAATCCTAGCTACTCAGGAAGCAGAGATCATGAGGATCTCAGAAGCCAGCTGGGGCAAATAGTTTGTAAGACCCTATCTTGAAAAATACCTAACACAAAACAAGGCTGGCAGAGTGGCTCAAGTGATAGACAACCTGCCTAGCAATTGAAAAGCCCTGAGTTCAAACCCCAATACCACCAGAAAAAAAAAAAATCCCAGTCATGTTCTACTAGTCAGAGTAAGTCAAAATGTATGCCAAATAATAACAAACTCAAAGAAAATTTAGAGAAACTTCTTTGCTCTTCTCTGCATGTGCTACTCCTGAGTGCTCTAGAGAGCCTGGATGCCTTACCTTTGGGTTCCTGAGACCAATCTTCCCTGGATATGTAGATAAATTAAGTTCCCCAGGAAATTTCCTCTCCTTGACTCTGTAAAGAGGAGTGGTGATTTCTAAAACTGGGGAAAAGCAGTGGTGGTGAAAAAGGACAAGAAAGACCTTATCACTTGTGTCAAGTCCCAAACTGTGTGTGTGGGGGGGGCATTAACTTGGCTGTAAAGAAGGTGAGGTCTGGCCCTTCTATAAAGGAGTGACTTTGGAGGAAGTGTCTTCACCAGTATCATTCTATCAAATCCCCTAAAACCTGGTCCCTGTCTTGGCACTAAGATCTCCACGAAAGAAAGTAATGATTGTTTCCAGAATCATCTAGAGTAGGAGTTATATAATCATGCTACTCTAGTTCCTGTTGCCACAGATAATTTAATATACAATGCCCATGTTTTTCTACCTCAATTTGGGACTCATTGTGTGATGGTCTCCTGTATGTAGAGACCTCCCCCAGACTCAGCCAAGAGTTTCCCTACTAATTTCATAAACTGGAAAGAAGATAAAGACATGGGTTGTGATGGACTGGCTAGTGGCTGAGCTACTCAGGAACTAGGGATCAGAACAAGGAACAGGCTGTGGGAAGCTGGAAGTAAAACGAAAGGGCCACCTTAAAATATATATATATTGCCCATACTAAGAATGTGTCACTGCATGAACAATCACACTCATCTTTACAGCAACTCTGTTGAGGTAGGTGTTACTGTTTTTCCTAAAGACCCAGGACTCACTGATGGAGTCTAGTCCCCATCCTTGTGCACTGCACTTTGACCCAAAGCCAGATCTCCTCTCCACCAGCAATACCAAACCAGTTCTAGCCCTGGGTGACTTGCCTCTCTTCACCTCTGCTCCTGCACATACAGATGGGTCAGAGGGTTTCCAGGTCTAATGCAGCCCACCATGGGTTATCCTCCACCACCATTAAGGGTATCTTGTTTCTTAAACCAGACAATGGGTACAAATAAAAGAGGACCACGGAAGTTTAAAAGAGGCCTTTTTGCTTCTACTACTAGGTGTAAGAAAAAAAAAACAGGTTTTCTTACTAGGTGTAAGAAAAAAAGAGTACAGCAAAAGAGTACACGGACCCCAGTTTCACATGATTGTTCACAATGGATGGATCTGAGTGGTCCTGAGACTGGTCCCCTCACCCAGAGATGCTCTTTCCTGGAAGATGCCCCTTCCTGGTATAGAACTCCAGTTTGGGAAGCAGAGTAAGACTGCTGTCCAGCAGCAGAGGCCAGCCGGGATGGGCAGTTGAGGCCACCAGTGGAGGCAGGGATGAGGTTTCAGGGGCTTTGGGACTATCTGGGATTTTCAGAAGTGGGAGGAGTATTTGTGGATGTCATCTTTTCTTAATTGATCCTTTAAAAAAGGTTGTGCTCAGGCGCCAACCTGAAGAAGGGGTGAGCTGGAGTGCTGAACAGAGCTCTTGGCATTAGGCCAAGAGGCCACGTGCAAGTCCGTGAGTCAAAACCCAGAATGCTGCCCAGGTTTGAGGGGCAGGGGTTGGGAAAGGAAGGGATTTCTGTAATCTGAGGACTGCTGTCTGGCAGAGCAAACGTGGAGTCCGGTTTTAGCTGGTGTCACTCCACGTTTATTGTGGGCGTTGGAGCTGGAGTGGGAAGAAAAGGAAATAATCCTTAACTTTTCCATCCTCGCTGTCAGTAAATCGGAAGGCGGTACTCAGGGCTAGGGACCGGTAGGGCTCGCCTGCCCCTTCTTTCCCTCCCTTCGCCTGGCGCGGCCAGCAGACTGCGGCGCCAAGCTTGCAGAAAGGGCGCTCGCGGGCCCGGGGCCGCGCGCTTGCTGCTCCCGGGGGAAGCCGGGTTGCCAGGTTGGGTTAACGCCTCCGCCCGCTCGCAGATTGTCCCGGGCTGAAGGCGCCACCTCTGGCGCCCAGGCGCGAGCCGCCCCTCCCGCGCACTATCCTCCCTCTCCTCCCCGCCCTCCCTCTGCTCCTCCCCGGCCACGCGCCTTCCCCGACCTCGGGCCGACTTCAGAGCCCGCAGGCGGAGGAGCGCACGGTGCGGTCGCCATCCCAGCCCCAGCCGCCGCCTCCCAGCAGTCGGCGCAGAAGCAAGATGCAGACATGGGGGGGAGGCGCGGAGGGACGCCGGGCCTTCGACAGCATCTGCCCCAACAGGATGTTGGAACTGCCGAGTCGGCCCCTTGGCAAGCCAGGGAAATCCGAGGGGAAGGTAAGGTCGCTGGCCGGGATCCCGCCGGGTCTGCGAGCTCTGTGTCCTGAGGACTGACCGTATGCATCATTTGTGTGCCTGGATAGTTCATCCCTCCCCGGAAATTCTTTTCGGGATGCAGCGATGGCAGCCCGGTGTCGGTGTACGAGGATCCCCCAGACTCAGAGTCCGCTGCGCTGCCAGGTGAGCTCCGAGGCACCTGCGCGACCCCTCGGATTCCCCGTGCCGGGTGGGTGCAGTGCGCGCGGCCGGGAGGTTCTCGCCCCCGGGCTCCGATGTCCTGGCGAGGGTTCCAGCGGCAAGTCTGGAGTAGAGGCTCAGGGTCCCCCGGCGCGTGTCTCCCGGTCTCCCCGCGCAGCCCTCACCACCATAGACCTGCAGGACCTCGCCGACTGCACCTCGCTACTCGGGTCCGACGCGCCGCCTAGTGGTGACCCGGCAGCCTCTCAGGTACCTTCCCTTTCCGTGGAGTCTAGCGGCCTCTTGTTACAGGAACCCCTCTGGAATATGATGGGTTTATTTCTGCAAAGGTTGGTCTCGGGATGAGACACACACGTTCAACTGGAGGGAGGTGGTGTGCGGGAACCACAGCCCCCCTAGATCTGAACTTTTCTCCTCCCCAACTCCTACTATGTTGTCAAGGACATATTTCTGGAGCCGTTCTTACCAGTTTTTTACAGCAGGGCTCACATGGAGGGCTCCCCTACCGTTCCTCTCCCATCTAGTCTCTGGAACTGTGTGGAGATGGCACTCTGAGGGACCAGGTGGTTGGGCGTGAGCTCACAGAACACCTGTCCTGTCTGTTCTAACATCCACTTCCAGCCACTCACTAACCATGTTCATTCTCCATTGAGGAGAATGGAAGTGGATGGGCAGAAAGACAAAGGACTTTGGAAGAGAGCTGACAGAAGACATTGCTGTCTGCAGATATGGCTCTTCAGCAATTGGGCACTTTTTAAAAGTTTTCTTGGGCTGGGGGTGTGGCTCAAATGGTACAGAACCTGCCTAGCATGGAGGCCCTGAGGTCAAACCCCAGTACCACAAAAAAAAAGTCTCCCCCCTCATCAAAAGCTTTAGTCACTTGCCATCATGGGATACAGAAACATTTGTCATTTTCCTTCCCCGCCAAACTTCTTACTTCCACCCACCTCCACCACTTGCCAGGGCTGACCCTTCCCAACAAGACCCTTCCCAAGCATGGAGCCTCTCCGTGCTGGTGTCTCTGAGGCCAAAAGCCTGGCTCATGGGTGGGATGAGATGTGATGTGAGGCACCCAGGACAGGTGATCTTAGCCACATGCAACCCACAGCAAAAGTGCTTCCTGACAGCAGGTGCTGGGCTCACAAGGTCCCTGGGCAGAAACCCAGTACAGAACTCTCCAGAAGATGCAACTACCTCCCAGAACTGGGAATGGTAGTGGAACAAAACTTGTGGGGCTTCCACCCAGGGCCTTTAGAACCTTGGGAAAGAGTTCACAGGGATTCAAAAGAGAGGTTACTGAGAAAATATACTGCTAAGGCAAGAGGTGGGAGTGTCATTGGCCTACAGAGGTCATTTGATTCTTTTTAGATCTGTATGCTCAATAAAGAAAGACAAGCCTAGGTATCTTTCACTGGACCCAGAGGCCTAGGTCTCTGCTTTACCCCAACATGTTTGTTTTGCAGGTAACAAAAGCCAGGTATACAGAATTTAACATCATGTTCTGTGTTAGTAATTTTTCTTGTCATAATTGGAGAGATGCCAGATTTATCTAATTGGAAAGGAAAGACTCAAAGTTTCAGGGACAGCAAATGACCCAAAAGGTCCAGGATTTCTGCAGAGAAAAACAGAGCTGGTACAGAGTGAGAAGGGTGCCTAGAAAGCCCATGGTTAGTGATTCTTGGGTCACATTTCCCAGCCTCTTGCTGGAGAAGGTAGACAGAGTGAGTCCCAGTACTTTAGAAGTGTCTGAGGTCCAGGATGGGTCCAAACCTGGAATAGCCTAGGAAGATGCCTTTCCTGGGCCCCACGTCCTGAGTTGGCCTCCAGTCTCCTAGTAAGGACTTTTCTCAAGACTTTACTGAGAAGGAGCCTTTGAAGAGTGAGTGCTGTTTCAGACTCCAACCAGAGTGAAACTCCTGCTTCAGATTTGTCTGGGGCCCTCAGTCCTTTCTTTCTCAGATCCTTTCCCTTTAGAGCCTCAGCTTCTAACTAGTGTGGAGGCCTGGAGGCTTGACTCTTCTCTGAGGGAAAATAACACTTTGAGATTGGGGTCAAAATAAGTTCCTCTTCCCCAAAACATGTGATGGGAAAGTAGGGTTTTGGGGAGCCCAGTACAAAGGCATCAGTAGAGTAGATATTTGTGATGGGCAGCTAGGATTCATCCTCTTACACCCTGGTCCTTGAGACTGGTTCCTTTTCCTAGTGCTGTCTTTAGAGAAAACCACCTGATCCCTAAAAAGACGGGCAATGAGGAAGAGAGGAAAGAGGATTGAAATAAGCACCAGCATTGAAAGGAAGGTACTTGAGGAAACTTCTCTGAGCTTCAGACTCTTCCTCAGGGGAAAAGGAAGCACTTCACAAACCTGCCTGTTTCCCAAAGTAGTGTAAGGATTAACTGAGAGATGATGTAAAAAAGAAATTTTTTGTCAACTTGAAATGTTCATGAGTTAAAGTGAATAAGAAGATTTCTGGGCCTTCACCCTTTTACCAGCTCCATCCTCTCATGCACCCATACCACCCTGTGGGAGGCTGAGAAAGTGTGCAGTTAAAGAAGTTGTAGGTGTAAGGCTGGGGCGTGGCTCAAGTGGTGGAGCACCTACCTAATAAGCCTAGGCCCTGAGTTGAAGGTGCATCCCATGCTACAGGAAAGGCCAACTTCAACTTTCTGAGAAACTGAAAAGAGCAATAGAGGTAACACCTGCTGCTGTGCGCTAACAGAAGCGTGTTGAAAGCATCTCTGACCCTTTCCATGTAGTCCACCCTTCCCCCTCCCTTATGGAGGGATCAAGCCTAGGCAGGAGATGTGTGTAGGCGCACATAGGCAACCGGTTATGGGGTGGTGGGCCAAGTTGGCGGTGCCGGCTGCTGTTCAGAGCCTGGCGCAGGGCTTCCGCACTTCTCTGAGGATCTGCAAGCTGCAGCATGGTGGATCAGATCCGTGTTCCCCATCAGCGCAGTGCTAGCCTGCTGGATTCCTTGTCTCGAAAGGGACTTGACTTTTCAGGTATGTGACTGCAAGTGCGAGAGTGCGCAGACTCGCCACGGAACTTAGGAGGGCGTCTGGCCATCTAGGAATTGTCTGGACGTGCCAGACTCACGTTGACCAGTCCACGCCCCTGGTTTATTTTAGAACCATTCCCTGCAAACGGAGGCGGACTTCGATCTGCAGAATTTCAAGGATACGGTGGATGAACTCATCGCAGGCAAGTGCAGTCTTCTTGTCCCCCCTCCCCCCAAATCACACTAGTTTAAATTTTGTGGTCATGAAGGTGGTAAACATGTTAATGACTGGCCAGCATCTCTCCAAAGGGTTAGACAATTCCGTATTTAGGATACAACCCTCCCTCCAATGGATCTATAACGCTTTTTTGGTTAGTGTGAGTTTTGGGAGAAGGATCCCTGCGTTGTGATGTGGCAGGGGAGAGGTTGAGTGACAGTAGAAGGCCTTCTGTTACTTTCCGGAAGTAGTTTTTCCTGATTGAGTTCAGGTTAATTCAACAGGTGTAGATGGATCGCCTACTAAGTGCTTATGAGGATGTCAGGAAGGGCCTGACAATCGTAGGCTTTGCGAAGTGAGGAGTATTTTCCTCAATAAAAAAAATTTTCACATAAATCCTACGCCTGGCGTGGCATTTTGTCCCTGTGACGGATTGGGCATGAGTCAGAGGCACCAAATCCATCTCATGCTCTTCCCTAGACTCGTCCTCTTTGATGTTGCCTTCCTTGGCCGGCGGTGACTTCCCTTTTTCCCCTTGCGACGTGTTGCCATTCGGACCCTGCCTCACCCGGTCTCTGGACCCATCCGCCCTGCAGTCGCCGCCTCTACGCGCTCCAGAAGTGCCGCCGCCCGAGCAGTACTGGAAGGAGGTGGCCGACCAGAATCAGAGGGCGTTAGGGGACGCTCTCGTTGAGAATAACCAAGTAGGGACACTGGGCTTGCAGCCAGGAATCCTGGGGCGGGGACAGGGCCTGGAGGAGGGCAGAAGTGCGGTTTCTAAGTAGCAGGACACTCCTGTGAAAGACTGAATCTGTGGACGGTTAAGTGGATCACGTACCTATTATTGCTCCAGTGACTCCACCTCAACGTCTATAAGTGGGAATGACCCCGCCCCACCAGATTTTGGTGGCTAAGGCTAGCCTTCAACTTTTTGTAGCCCAGGCCGGCTTTGAACTCGTCATCCTCCTGTCTTAGCCTCAGGAATTATAGCGGTACCCTACCACCCCCGGCTCTTACTGGATTTTTAATAGGGCTGCCAATATTTATTGCAGGCTTTCTATGTGCCTGGCACTGTGCTTATGAAGCCTCATTTTACAGATAAGTTAATCGAGGTGTTCGATGGTTGACCTTCAGAGGCAGAGCCCAGATCTGCCTATTGCCCAAGTCACCACCACTGCTACACCGAGGATTGAGATACATTTTATTCCTAGTACTTTATATTAAAAAGTCAAGTGAATTGGTCATTGTTGGGAGTGTAAATGCCCTTGGGTCTTCAGTCCTGCTGAGACGTCCGGATCTGAGTTTAATTCAGGCATACTAGACCCAGCACTGCGATGTTTGCTTCTCGTCCTGCAGCTGCACGTGACGCTGACCCAGAAACAAGAGGAGATCGCCTCGCTCAAGGAGCGGAACGTGCAGCTGAAAGAACTCGCCAGCAGGACCCGGCACCTGGCCTCGGTGCTGGATGTAAGTGGGGCAGGCGTGTGGGACACTGCGGGACGTCGAAAGTGTTCCAGCGCACCCCCCGCTCTGCTCTCTGTGCCGGGACCCGGCGGGGTCCGGGACAGTAGAGGACCCCTGGGCCCGCAGTGCGTAGGGAGTCCAGATCTCTTTTTGCACGTCCTGGACCGGGCGAGCCTGGCTGGCCCCAGAGCGGCGCTCTTCCCCATCTTTCCTAGAAGCTGATGATCACGCAGTCCCGAGACTGTGGGGCAGCGGCCGAGCCCTTCCTGCTCAAGGCGACAGCCAAAAGGAGCCTGGAAGAACTGTTCAGTGCTGCGGGTCAGGATTGCGCGGAAGTGGACGCCATCCTCAGAGAGATATCCCAGCGCTGCGATGAAGCCCTGCAGAGCCGCGATTCCAAGAGGCCCCGGCTGCAACCCGCGCGGGTGGACACTGACCGCAGGCCGGGGAACCTGCACGGCGCCTTCCGAGATCTGCGCACCGACTGCAGCCAGAGCGCCTTGAACCTGAGCCACAGTGAGCTGGAGGAGGGCGGGTCTTTCAGCACCCCCATCCGCAGCCACAGCACCATCCGCACCCTTGCCTTCCCCCAGGGCAATGCCTTCACCATCAGGACGGCCAATGGGGGCTACAAATTCCGCTGGGTCCCTAGTTGAGCTGGGATGTGGTCACACAAACACTGCCCTGTATCCCAAATGCAAACTGAGTGGGAGTAGCTGGAACTGTCCCAGACCTTCTCGGAACTCTGCAAACTTTTCGGAGCTCTCTGCAGGCGAATGCTGCTCTGAAACATTTTTTCAGGAACATAAACTGTCTTCATACCGATGCACTGTAAAGCTCTCCTATGAAACATTGTATAGTCCCTCCCTTTGTCACAGTGAAACAGTGTGTGCATACATGTGCATATACATATACATATACATAGTTCATAGTCAAGTTTAAAAGTATTTATAACTAGCAGTTTTGAATTACGTAAAGACAAAGAAGGGATTTAGAAACCAATTTTAAATTATGCTTTTAAAATATGCTAAGACACTAGGTCATTAGGAACTGTCCAAACTCTAGTCATTCAAGGATACTAGGCAGAGAGCCTGGTCTTTGGGTGAATGCTTCAACCCATCACTCAATTTCCCTCAATCTTGGAAGGATACCTAATTTTGTTACTATTGAAACATTTTATTTTCACTTCCAGAATAAAAAAAAAATCTGGCGAAGTAGCCTAACTAGTTGCTTTAGAAAAACATAGGTTCTCAGAGACCCTGGTCTTTTAGGGTTGCACTAAGCATATTCGTTTGTAATGATCATGAGTATAATTTTATGAGATTTGTGGCAAATGTTTTATTTGTGCATGCAGAATAACCACCCCCAAACCAAACTTTGCGAAATAAGAAAGGCAATTTGTTTTAATAGCATATACCACATGAAAAACAGAACATATATAATATAATGTATATTTAATGTATTATATAATATTTAATATATATAATATATATTTATGTATATATTTGCAAGACCAAGTGTGGAACCTGTAAAAAAAAAACACTGAATTCCACAGATAAAACTGGAGTGCACGCATGGTTTGTATTACTTGGCTTGATCGTTAAAGAAATATGTGCATATCGTACAGCTCCTTCACTTTGACTTTTCTTCTTTTCCCTTTGTTTGAGGTTCCTTTTCCCACTCTGTTCTGAAATACTATGAGTGGTATATGTCAAGTAGTGATTTGTCCCAGCCTCCACAACTCTCAACATAAGCACTCCTTCCTGCATTTGTGGGCTCAGTTGGGCAAGTCTTCACGGGTCTTACACCACACTGCATTGGGTTCTGCCATTTGAGTGGACAGATCAGGTGACAAGCGAGTTGGGTGAGGTGACAGAACCTGCCCCTCCAGTTTGTCACATGTACTGTTATCTGTATTTAAATAGCCATTTAGGAATAGCAACAGAAAAGGTATAAAATAGACCACATTTCCTCATATTTTGTCTAACAAATGGACTAAAAAATACTGTGGGTGGCTTGAAATTCTTTCATCAGCGCAAATATAAATTTACCACAGTTCAGGGTGATAAAAAAAAAATGAAGCAAACAAAACTCATTTAACCTGTCCTGATAAACAATGGACTTGACAAAAAACTTTTCTGTAGATCTTATGCTTGGATTTTAAAAAAAATTTCTTCTTCTTTTTGCCCTCATCTTACTGTCCTATATTTGTCATGTTAACCACCTTCAGTATCTTCCATTTGGGGGGGCTGGGGGTTGGGGGGAGAATACTCTCTTGTGTGCTAATGGCACAAAGGACCAACTTTCATTAGTTAGTGGTGATAGAGCTTAAAAAAATTAGATTCATCCATTCGCCCAACAGGTATGTATTGAATGTTACTTTTTACAAAAGTAAAACAAGTCATAAAAGCAGTGAAAGAACAAAATATATACTTTCTTTTGGGAAAAGCTAAACACTGAACAAAAAATTATTTAAGTGCTGTGAAGAAAATGAAGAGTAAAGATAGTGTCTTAGTCAGTTTAGACTGCTATAACAAAGGAGACTGTGGCTTAAACAACAGACATTTATTTCTCACTGTTCTGGAGGCTGGAAGTCAGAGATCAAGGTGCTGGCTGATTAGGTTCCTCTTCCTGCTTTGCAGATGGCTACTTTCTTGCATATACTCACATGACTAGGAGGGAAGGAAGGAGGGAAGAGGGGAGAGAGAGATCTTGTTTCTTCTTATGACTTCCTCTGAACCTAATTACTTCCAAATACCATCACATTGGGAGTTAGGGCTTCGACACAGGAATTTGGTGGTACACAAACATTCAGTTCATAGGAGGATATTGGGGGAGGGGATGCTATTTTAGATAGGGTGGTCTGGTCAGGGAAGACCCCTCTGTAAAAGTAACATGAGCAGAGACCCGAGGATGTTTGGGAATAACCTGAATGGGTATTTGGGGGAAGAACATTCTAGGCAGAGGGAACAAGTGCAAATGTCCTGAGGTGGGGAGTTGCCTAAGTGTTGGGGAAAAAACAGGGGGTAATCTGATTAGTGAGAGCTGAAAAAGGACGGAAAGAGGAGGTGCTGTGTAGAAGACTTGGGGCCCTTCTAGGCCTGTTGAAGACTTTGGCTTTATACTTAGGGAGATGGGAAGCCATTAGGGGTTTTTAGCTGAGGAGTCACATGATGCATTAAAATTTCTTTTGGCAACACTGGGGTTTGAACTCAGGGCCTTATGCTTGCAAAGCAAGTGCTATTACCAATTGAGCCACTCCGTCAGTCAATCCTTTTTTTTATAGTGAGTTTTTTCAAGACAGAGTCTCATGAGCTATTTGCCCAGGCTGGCTTCAAACCTCGGTCCTCCTGATCTCTGCCTCCTGAGTAGCTAGGATTACAGGTGTGAGCCACCAGTGCTCAGCGAGTTTCTTTTTCTTTGTGGTGCTGGAGAGCAAATCCAGGGCCTCACGCATGCTGGGCAGGTACTCACTGAGCTACATCTCCAGCCCAATCACACTTAAAGTTTATGTGGACTATTTTGGTTTCATTGGGAGAATTGTAGTGAGGAGGGATGAGGAAGCAAGAGTGAAAGCAGAGGAAGCCATTTGGAGATGGCTGGAATAATGTAGGCGAAGGACACTTAAAACCTATTCCAAAGTGGTTGTGCTAGGCAGAATCATCAGAATAATGCACCCGCCTCTCCCCAAAGATGTTCACGAGATGAGCCTGTGAGTGTGTTATGTTGCTAGGCAAAGGGGGAATTAGGGAGCAAATGGAATTAAGGCTGCTAAATAGCTGACCTCAAATAGGGAGATTATTCTGGATTTCCAGGTGGACCTAAAATAATCACGAATCCTTAAATGTGGAAGACAGAGGCAGAAGAGGAGCTGGTACAGCATGGAAATAACTTGGTTTGTGAAAAATTTAAAAAAGAAGCAACAGTGCTTTAATTCAAATTAATCCAATAAAATGTATGTTTTCTATTTGAAGGGTGTTATGGAATGGAATTTGAAAACTAACCGGGACATTAAAGATCATTTACTCCAGCTGGGCGCCGGTGCCTGACACCTGTAATCCTAACTACTGGGAGGCTGACATTGGGAGGATTGAGGGTCAAGGCCAGCCTGGGCAAATAGTTAACAAGATGCCATCTCCAAAATAACAAGCAAAACGGACTGGAGGAGTAGCTCAAGTGGGAGAGCACCTGCTTTGTAAGTGAAAAAATATTTTACTACACCATCTAATATGAAAGCTGAAGAATCAACGAAAATAGGGTCCTTTGTTCTGTTTTCAGTTTTGCTTAAAAAAAAAAAGCAATGAGATGCTTTCTTCTCTTAGGACATCTGAGACATTACTGGGTGAAATGGTGTCTGTTACAGACAGTCCTCTGCTTTTAGATCCTTGTGTTGGCATGGATCATTTTATGGAATCTCAGTCCAAAAAAATAAAAACAATTAAGGAAAAGTTTTCAAAAATGAATATTGGAAATCAGATTTTAAAAACTTCGCCGGGCACTGGTGGTTCACACCTGTAATCCTAGCACTCAGGAGGCAGAGATTAGGAGGATTGCAGTTTGAAGCCAGCCTGGGCAAATAGTTCTTCGAGACCCCATCTCGGGAAAAACCCTTTACAAAAATAATAGAGCTGGTGGAGTGGCTCAAGGTGAAGGGCCTGAGTTCAAGCCCCAGTACCTTAAAAAAACAAAAACAAAAATAAAAAAAACCTTTATAGATAAGGATAGTGAAGGCTAACTCTAGAAAATGCAAGTACCTAAATATACTAGATTTCTGTGAGAAAGCAGTTCACTTAAAGGAAATAAACAGGGAAATAATCACCATGGATGATAGGGACAATGTGTTAAAGATATAGTGACTACCGTAGTTGATGACTGTAGTTTTATAGGCGATTTATTTGTTACCACTCTGGAAAGTGAGGAAAAGAGAGTAGATAATAAGTATTTGGGGAGTTTCTTTAAAAATATTGTGGTCATCTCATCTAAGAAAAGGGAATATGAGATTTTGTTGAATATGTTTGCTTTTTCTTATACTTTTTTTTTTTTAAGTCTTGCTACATAGCCCTGGATGGCCTTAAACTTACTTTGTAGCCCAAGTTGGACTTGAACTTGAGGTTCTCCTACTTCAGCCTGGGATTACAGGCAGGGGCCACTACACATGGCTGATTTTCCCTCTTCATTAAGATGAAATAAGCAGGCTGGGTGTGCTGGGGCACACCTGTAATCCTGGCTAGCTATGCAGGAGGAGGAGAGCTGCAGGAGGAGATTGAAAGGATTCGGTTTGAGGGTACCCTGGGCAAATTGTTTTTGAGACCGCATCTCAGCAAATATGCCAGGTAGCAGGTGAGTGTGGTGTACTCCTGTGGTTCCAGGTATGAGGGAGGCCATAGATAAGAGGACTGTGGGCTGAGGCCGGACTTGGGTAAAACTCAAGACCCTACCTGAAAAATAACTCGAACCAAACAAGGATAGTGGTGTGGCTCAAATGGTAAAGCACCTGCCTAGCAAGTGCTAATGCCCTGAGTTCAAATTCCCAGTACCACCCCCCAGAAAAAAAATGGGTTGAGTGCAATTTATTGATTTCACTGGTATTTTCAATCACTTTTGGATACTGGTTTTTCTCTATCATTAAATTTCATTGTTAGTATTATCTCTTTACATGGTTAAGACTTACTTATTATTTTTTTAATCTCATTTTGCTTTCTGTCAACTTTCAGTTAAATGGTCATAAAACCATCAGTTTACAGTATTAAGTGACGATGTTTTGTGTCTCTATTTGACCCAATGGAGATTTAAGACAGTAAGATGATGGTTAATCTAAGAACTATCATTGACTGGGTGGTCCTGTAGGTCACATGATTGAATCCAGCCTGTTAATCATAAGGTGTCCAAGCGGATGGTGTAAGCTGAAGTCATAAGTGATGTCTCCACTTTAGTACAAGACCTTAAAAGGGGTGTGACAAAATTAGTGATGTGTAGGCATCCACCCGTGGGAAACACTCCAAGCAGGTGTCTTTAGATGTCTTCTCTTTCCTTCCCTCTCCCCTGTTCTCCCTCTTTGCATCTCACAGAGAAGAGTTCTAGTACTCTGAAGTTCTGTGCCAGGCAGTTGAGGTATGAATGGAGGTGATTGTATTGCTTGAGTTTTGCAACAATAAAGTAAATAAAATGATCTTCCACACCCATGAATAAATCAAGTCAGGAATTGATAATATTTGATACAGCTACTTGTTAATGATGCCATCAACAAATCAGATGTCTCTGCTTCATCCCCCGTGTTAGCCCTTTGTGTTTCATGATCACAAAATTGATGCTGCAGCTCCAGATATCATGCCTGCATTCAAAGTAGGAAGAAAGAGGGCAGATGAGGTTTCACAAACTCTCTGTCACTTTTATTAGGGAAGAAAGAAAACTCTCTCAGAAAAGCTCTGGTAAGTCTCCTGAGTCACACATTTACCCCTACTTGCAAGAGAGGCTGGGAATCTAGTTTCTCAATTCTAGCCATTATTCTGGGAGGTGGACTAGAGAAAGGGAAATTGGAAAAAAGCCTCTTGCATCATCCAACAATATCTGTCAAAGGGTTTACTTGGTCTCAATGTGTAGAGAAGCCCAAGGGAAAAGGCAGGAAGAATGTGTGCCCCCCATGCCCCAGACCCTGACACCAGAGCTTGTCTTTTCCAGCAGGGGGTCCAGGTCTGAGTATCTCTTGGGGACCTGGGACACAAAGAGGGAAGAAAGTGCCCAGTCAGTGACGCAGCCTGGAGCTGGAGGCTCATGTGTGCCAAGAGATTCTTCAAAAGTTAGAGCCTGTGGGGCTGCCAAGAAGAAAATGGGCACCCTTTTAGATTGTCCTGGGTAAACTTTCATCTTCACCCTTTAATTAAACTGGGGTCCCCCAAGAACCACTTTAATCTCTACCAACATCAGTGCCCCCAATGACCTAGTTACCTTTCACTATGTCCCATCTCTCTCTCTCTCTCTCTCTCTTTTTTTTTTTTTTTTTGCAGTGCTGGGGTTTGAACTCAGGGAATACTCCTTGAGCCATTCCACCAGTCCTTTTTTGTGATGCGTTTTTTTGAGATAGAGTCGTTCAAAATATTTGCCTGGGCTGGCTTCCAACTGAGATCCTCCTGATCTCTGCCTCCTGAGTAGCTAGGATTACAGGTGTGAGCTGCCAGCCCTGGACTAAATCCTACCTTTTGAAGGTCTGGACACTTCAACACTGTCACACTGGGGTCCAAGCCTCCAACACATCAACTCTTGAGGGACAAACCACACCCAAACCATAACAAGCAGCTTTATTGATCAGTGCTGGAAGTCATTCACAATGGTTTCTTCGCACTTCTGAGCCATTGTGGGGAAGAAGGCCACAAATGGGGAGCTAAGTGCAGTTCTTGGTTCTCAGTGGAACCCTGTCCTAACATGCCTCAGACTGAATCAGGAAGGAAAGCTGTCAGGGTCTCAGAAGCATCTCGGTCCTGAGGCCGTGCTCCAATTTCACCTTGAGAAAGATGTGCTGAGCTGAGAATAGAGAACACACATCTCAGGGTCCTGGAACTGGAACCAAGCCTAAAACTGTAACCTTATAATGTGACCGGTGATCTGTTAGAAAATGCTGTTTAAATGGTTGTCCCTTTTTTCCTGGCTTATTTTATTAACAGATCCTAAATTCTGAACGGATGTTGCTCTGAAAAATTCCATTCTCCTGTGTAGGCATGGAGTCTTCACTCCTATGTCTGGAGTGAACTTGAATTCACTCATTTCTTTATTGAGGTCTTTTATACTTTGAGCTACTTGTTTATGTTTTATTGCCACTTATGTCCAAAATTAATCTGAGGCTATTTGTGATGAAAACTTACACAAAACAGGGCATCTAAAGCAGAGTACTATTAAATGTAAGGAAATCAGCCTAATTAGAGCAAACACCTGTTCAAACTTGCGTAGCCAACAACTATTTCCAGTATTTACTTTTAGCTGCTTAACAAAATGCTGGGTAAATCAGACATGACAATTTATTTATGTTGTACTGGGAAAAGAAACTCCAGATTTACTTAGGACTTGTATGAGCAGCCAAATAATATTAGAAATTGCACTTAGTTACAGGATGTGGACATTTCAATTATTTCTGAACCATGCCATCGCCGAAAGTAAACACAGATGAATAACATGTTCTGCAAGTGATAATAACAGCTTTGAGCACTTGCATAAGATCATGCCTGAGTTTCAGGAATGGCATTACCTTCATTTCTTTAAAATAGAAATTCTGGATTTAGAAGGTACCTCTTGGGGTTGCTCCCAAACTTATAGTAATTCTTCTTTTCTGGAAACTGAGCTGAGTACACAGGTTGGGTCTGTTTGGCTTCAGCTGGTCACTACCCTTCCTCTGACAGCAAGCCCTCTCCCCCGTCATCTACATCACCACCAATAGCTGAGTGAGCTATTTTTCATTATTTATTGGACTGGGCATGCTAGTTCATGTCTGTAATCCCAGCTACTTTGGGAGGTAGAGATCAGAAAGATTGTGATTTAAGGCCAACCTGGGCAAAAAGTTAGTGAGACTCCATCTCATCAAATGAGCTAGATGTACCGGTGTGCACCTGCAATCTACAAGAGAGACATAGGTAGGGAGATTGAGGTCCTAAGCCTGCCCAGGCAAGAAGTGCAAAACCCTATCCAAAAAATAACTGAAGCAAAAAGGGGTATGGGGTGAGGCTCAAGTGGTATTGGGGCCCTGAGTTCAAACCCCAGGCCTCACACTTGCTAGGCAAGCACTCTACGACTTAAGCCACTCTGCTAGCCCTTTTTTGTGTTGGGTATTTTGGAGATAGGGTCTCTTGAACTATTTGCCCAGAGCTGGCTTTGAACCACGATCCTCCTGATCTCTGCCTCCTGAGTAGCTGTAATTACAGGCATGAGCCACTGGCGCCCAGCTTAATTCACCTATTATATATAGAGTGTATAATTCAATATTTTTAGTAGAGCCACAGAGTCTTGCAACCATCCCCATATCTAAGTTAAGAATATTGTTGTCCTCCCTAAAAGAACACTTCTTTCTCCTTCCTTTCCTTCTCCTCCTTCTTCACTGAGGTTTAAACTCAGGACATAGTACTTGCTAGTTTAGCCATGCCCTTAGTCCTAAGCAGTCATTCCTGTTTGTTTTTGACAGTCCTGGGGTTTGAACTCAGGACCTCACACTTGCCAGGCAGGTGCTCTACCACTTGAGCCACTCTGCCAGCCCATAAGCTGTCACTTCTTATTCTCCTTCCCCATCCCCCAGTCCTAGGCTACACTAACTGACTTTCTGTCTCTCTAGATTTGCCTACACTGGGCACTGAGTAAAGGAGATCAAGTAATGTAGTCTTTCATGACTGGCTTCTTTCCCTTCCCATAGTGTTTTCAAGGTTCGCCATGTTGTCTTACACACCAGAACCTCATTCTTTCTACTGTCAACTAACATTTCACTGCCCACCTGTGCACCCACAGTTTACTTGTTCATCCATCACTGCATGGGTTCCTGAGCTGTTTCCACTTTGGGCTACTCTGAGTAATGCTGCTATGGAAATTCTGTGCACGTTTTTGCGTACACATACTCTCATTTCTCTTGGGTATACCAAGGAGTGGAATTTCTGGGTCACATGCTAACTCTGTTAAACATTTTGAAGAACTGCCCAACTATTTTCATAGCAGCTGCACCATTTTGCATTCCCACCAGCAGTGTGAGAGCCTTCACATTTCTCTCCAGCCTTGCCAACATTTGCTATTGTTGTTTTATTCTAGCCATGCTGGTGGATGCAAAGTGGTCTCTTATTTCCTAATGACTCATCATGCTGAGTGTCTTTGCACGTGTTTCGTCACTTATATAGTTGAAGAGTTTTCAGATCTTTCGTCTACTTTCTACTTAGGCTATTTGTCTTTTTACTGTTGAGTTTTGAGTATTCTTTATATATTTGAAATACAAGTCCCTTATCATGTATGTGACTTATGAGTACTTTCTTCCCTTCAGTGGTTTGTCTTTTCATTTTCTTGATGATAGATATCATTTAGAGCAAAATATTATTATGATGTGGTGTAATTTATTTTTTATTTAAGTTATGCTTTTGGTCTGATAACTAAGATAAACTTGTTTAACCCAAAGTCACACACACTTACTTCTATGTTTTCTTCTAAGAGTTTTACAGTTTTATCTATTAATTTAAGTTTTAAAAAAACTTATGTTATCCATTTATGTTTTGTCTGTTTCCATTGCTTTTCTTTTCTTTTCTTGAGACAGGGTCCCTCTATGCAGGCCAGACTGGCCTCGACTTCGTAATCCTGCTCCGCAGCCTCCTGAGTTTGGGATTACAGGCATGTGCCGCCACAACGGGCTCGTAAGTTAAATGTGTACATGATATGGAGGGGCCAACCTCACTCTTTTGTATTGCATATCCTCTTACGCCAGTTGTTGAAAAGACTATTCTTTCCCCTCCTTGATTGTTCTGGCATCCTTGTTGACAATCCATCATAGGCATTAGGACTTACCTTTGAACTATTAATCCTCTTGCATCCATCTGCAGGGCTATACTTAAAGCAGTATCATGTAATCTGATTACTGTCAGCTTATAGTAACTTGAAATCAGAAAGTACAAGAATTTTAACTTCTTTCTTTTCAAGACTGATTTGACAATTTTGGGTCCTTCCCATTTCCACATGAATTTTAGAATTAGTTTATCATTTTCTGCTTTGCAACTCCAACATTTTGCAATTTTCAGGATATAGGTCTTATGCTTCTGGTAAATTTATAGCTAAGCATTTTATTTTTCATGGTGTTATTATAAGTGAAACTGTTCTCTTAGTTTCACTTTTAGATTGCTCATTGCTGGATTGAACCCATGGCCTCACATATGCTAGGGAAATGGTCCACCACTGAACTACACCCTCAGACCCTACAACTGATATTTGGATATTAATCTTGTTTCCTACAACCTTGTTAAACAGTTCATTCATTCACATACGTTTTCTACTTTCAGAAATTCATTTGGATTTTCTTTCTTTTGTTGGTACTAGGGATCAAACCAAGGCATGCACTTGCCAGGCAAGCACTTGTACTGCTAAGATAACCCCTAGTGGTAGGATTCTCTTTTCTTTTTTTGTAGGGGAAGAGTGCAGTACTGGGGTTTGAGCTCAGGACCTTGCGCTTGCTAGGCTAGTGCTCTACCACTTGAGCCACGCTTTCAGCCTTTTTGCTTTTTAAGGTAATTTTTCAGATAGGGTCTTGCTTTTTGCCTGGGATGGATCTAGACTGCTATCCTCCTACCTATGGCCTCCCATGTAGCTGAGATAACAGGTGCATGCCATCATGCTCAGCTTGTTTCATTGAGATTCGGGTCTCTGCTAACTTTTTTTTTTTGTCAGGGCTGGCCTTGAACCTAGATCTTCCAGATCTCCACTCCTGAATAGTTGTGATTACAGGTGTGAGCCAATGTGCCTGACCCAGCCCTGGGATTTTCCATGTATAAGATTATGCCATCTGCAAATTAGATGTTTTTTTTTCTTTTATTATTCATATGTGCATACAAGGCTTGGGTCATTTCTCCCCCCTGCCCCCACCCCCTCCCTTACCACCCACTCCACCCCCTCCCTCTCCCCCCCACCCCCTCAATACCCAGCAGAAACTATTTTGCCTTTATTTCTAATTTTGTTGTAGAGAGAGTATAAGCAATAATAAGGAAGGAACAAGGGTTTTGCAAATTAGATGTTAAACATTCTATAGTTTTACTTCTTCCTTTCCAATATGAATGTCTTCTATTTCTCTTTCTTGCCTACTCACCCTCATGAATCCCTGCAATGCAAGGAGATATCCTTGTCTTTTTCCTTGTCAGAGGGGAAAACATTCAGTCTTTAACCATGAGGTGAGGCTTGCTCTAGATTTTTGGGTTCAGGAAGTTACTTTTTCTCTCTAGTTTATTTCCTCTAGTTTTTTGCTTGTTTATTTGTTTATTTTTGCTTTTTGGCAGCACTGGGGTTTGAACTAAGGGCCTCACACTTACTAAGCAGATACTCTATCACTTGAGCCATGCCTGCAGCCCTTTTTGCATTAGTTATTTTTCAGGCAAGATCTTCTGTTTTTGTCTGGGAATTGCCTGAACCACTCTTCTTCTACCGGTGCTTCCCAAATAGCTGGAATGACAGACATGTACACTATGACCAGCTATTGGTTGAGATGGAGTCTCACTAATTTTTTTTCCCTGTGCTGGCCTCAAACCATGATTCTCCTGTCTCTTCCTCCCAAGTCGTTAGGATTATAGGTATGAGCCATGGGCACCCTGTTTCCTTTTGAATCTGCATTCATTTTATTCCTTTTCTTATTGCCTTACCTAGCTAGGACTTGCAATATGATATTGAATTGTAGTGGTGAGAGGGAACCTCATGTCTTATTTCTGATCTTTGTGGGGATGCTTTGAATTGCTCACTGTCAAGTATAATGTTAGCTGGATGCTTTTTTGTAGACATTCTTTATTAGTTAAGAAAAGTTCCTCTCTACTCCTAGTTTACTGAGAACTTTTTTTTTCCATGAATGTCTAATATCTTTCTGCATCTATTGATATGATTAGGTGATTTTTCTTCTTTAGTCTGTTGATGTGTGGATTGAACTTGTGGATTTTCAAATGTTGAATCAGTCTTGCATAGCTGGGATAAATTGCACTTGGTCATGATATATACAGTTCTTTTTCCACGTTGTTGGATTCAATTTCCTGATATCTTGGTGAGAATTTTTGCATCTGTATTTATGAGAGAAGTTGATCTATAGTTTTTCCTTATAATATCTTCATCTAGTTTGGACATTAGGGTAGTGCTGGCCTCACAGAATGAGTTCCATTCAGTTAAAATATTTTAAAACTTCTCTTGAGATTTCTTTTTTGATCTGTGTGTTATTTAGAAGTGTGTTGTTTAATCCCTGTGTATTTTGGAATTTTTACAAATTTCTTTCCCTCCCTCTCTCCCTCCCTTCCTTCCTTCTCTTTTTTGGGTGCTGCATATAGTAAGTATGTACTCTATTGCTTAGGTATACACCAGCCCAAAGTTATTTTTCTAGTACTGATTTCTAATTTAATTCCATTGTAGCCTAAAAGCAGATATTTTGTGATTTCTATTTTTAAAATTTGTTAAGGTATGTTTTATTGCCAAGAATGTGGTCAGTCCTGGTAAATGTTCCATGTGAGGTTGAGAAAAATGAATATTCTATAGTTGTTGAATGAAGTAGTTTGTTTTTTGATGAGCCTGGGCTCTGAATTCAGGGCTTCACGCTTGCAAAGCAGGCACTCCACCACTTGAGCCACATCTTCAGTCAATTTGCTTTGGTTATTTTGGAGATGAGGGGCTTGTTAACTATTTGCCTGGGCAGGTCTTCAAACAGTGATCCTCCCAACCTCACCCTCCCAAGTAGCTGGGGTTACAGGTGTGAGCCGTCAATTCCTGGCTTGAAGTAGTCTATTGATGTCCATTATATTCAGTCGCTTGGTGGTGTTGAGAGTTCACCTATGACTTTACTTATCTTCTACCTTCTAGATCTGTCTGTTTCTGATAAAGGGGAGATGAAGTCTCCAACTGAAATAATGGATGCATTGATTTCTCCCCACAGTTTTATCAGTGTCTGCCTCACTGATGATCTGTTGTTAGGCCCATACACATTAAGGACTGCCATGTCTTCTGGGGAATTGAAGCACTTTATCATTATGTAACATCCCCTTTTATCACCAATAGCTTCCCTTGATCTGAAGACTACTCTTCTGACTCTAGTATAAATACTCTTGTTTTTTCTTTCTGTCTCAGTACTGGGGTTTGAACTCAGGGCCTCATACTTGCTAGGCATGCTGTCTATCAGTTGAGCCACTCAGCCAGCCCATTCCTGTTTAAAATTAAAAGTATTTGACAAAGATTGTATATATTCAAAGAGTACAATGTGACTTGATATATGTACCCATTATGTAGTGATTATCACAATCAAATTAACACACCCATAATCACCCTTAGTATTTGTTTATCTTACAACTGAAAGTTGGTACCCATTAATCAAAATGTCCCATTCCCAACTCCTGCCAGCTCCTGGCAACCATCATTCTACTCTGTATGAGTTCACTTATTTCACTTTCACATACAGTGAGGTCATACACTATTTGTCTTTCAGTGTCTTACTTATTTTGCTTAGCATAATGTCTTCTAGGTTAATCCATGCTGTGTGGTTGCAAATGGCAGGATTTTTCTCTTTTTATGACTGAATAGCATTCCATCGTAGTTATGTGCCACAGTTTCTTTTTCCATTCTTTCGTTGAACACTTTAAGTAGTTTATTTTTATATTTTATTTTTATTATTGTTGTACTGGGGGTACATTGTAACATTAACAAAATCTCTTACAATATATCATAGTTGAATTCACCCCCGCCAACTTAAGTGGTTTCTATGCCTTGGCTATCATGAATAATGCTGCAATGCAGATGGGAATGCAGATATGCCTTCAAGCCACTGATTTTCCTCAGATATAAACCCACAAGTGAGGTTGCTGGACTGCATGATAGTACTAACTTTAATTTTTTGAGACCCTCCATACTGTTTTCCATAGCCATCAACAGTGTGTAAGAATTCCCTTTTCTGTTTCCTTTTCCCTCTCCTTTTTTTTGGGGGGGAGAGGGCGGGGAGTGGTACTACAGTTTGAAGTCACTTATATTTCTTCAGTTCTTATCTAATGTTCTTTTATTTAAAATCCTGGGGTCCCCCCCAAGGAACCACATTATATTCAGCTGTATCTTCTTCAGCTTATCTTGGCTGTGACATTTTTTCAACGCTTTTGCTTTTGAGGAGGTATGTTGTAGACTGCCACTTTATTCAAATTTGTCACATGTTTTTCTCATGATTACACTGGGGTTATATATTTCTCAGAGAAATATCACATCATATTCTATCAAGAGCCCAATGTGATCACATGATTTGACTATTGATGTTGGCCTTGATTGCCTGATAGACTTTGTCATTGTTCCCCACTTTAATGATACTCTTGCTCCTCCACACCCGTTCTCTGCTGTACTCTTTGGAGGACGCCATTGTGGGCAGCATGAATCTAGAAGTGAGGAGTCATGCTTCCTTTCCTTTGGAGCAGAGAATTCGCCTAGATTATTAAGTTCTGCGTGGGAAACTTGTTCCTTATCCCTCATAACATTTATATTTTAATTCTATCTATCTATCTACCTACCTATCTCTCTCTCTCTCTCTCTCTCTCTCTCTCTCTGTCTATCTGTCATGTTTCTATCTATCATCTATCTCTTCTTTTCAGGTTAAATAAGGAAAGCAGTAAAGATTATCTTGCTCTATAAGGTTTAATATTATTTCTTAATC